GATAGGAGAATGACTTGAACCCAGGAGTCAGAGGTTGCGGTGAGCTGAGATTGCACCACTGCACTACAGCCTGGGCAACAGAGTGAGAATTTGTCTCAAAAAAAGAGAAAAAGGGGGGGACAATAATAGCACCTGGCTCTGGGGACTGCTGTGAGGACTGAACGTTAATGTGTGGAAAGGGCCGCGCAAGGCCTGGGTGCCGTTGCTGTGGCTGTCGCATCACCGCCTGTTCAGTACCTGTAGAGGGACCCCCCTTGATGACCCTGGCTAGGTACTGAGCTCCTGAGTTTAGCTGAGGGCTGAGGGCATTAGCTGGTCTGAATCAGACTCGTGCGGCACCAGGCAACCTTCAATCTCCTTTTCAAAGGGGACCACCCTGAACCTTCCAGAAAAACATTGCTTTTCCCGATTGAAATGATTCCCACGTAACCACAGTCGGGAGCACAACTGGCCAAGATTTTCATTCACCACAGACTCAGTCCTCATTTCCCTTTTCCAGATCCCACCAGGGGCAGATTAGGTGTCACATTGCATCGCATCACGCCGTCCCATTACCCTGTTCACAGGCCACCCCAGAAACTCCCCGGGGGAGATGGAAGCTAAGTTCTGAGCTGGGACTCTGCCTCGTGGGGTTGACACTGAGACATAGGCTGTTTCTCGCCCGCTTGCCCTGCCTTTCCCAGCTCCCTGCCCCTCTCTGCTGGCGTCTGGTCTCATGGCCAGATGACAGCGCCAGCTCTTTGCACCTGAAGCACATTAGCGAGGCTGGCTGGGCTGGGGCTCTGCTCCCAAGCTTCCTCTCCCTGTCTAGAAACCTGAAGCACTGATGCGCAGAGCAAGGAGGAACTCTGCTCCCACGCCTGATTTTAATGAGGGACGGATGCATCCTGCAGGGCTCAGAGGTTCTGTTTCTCTAAACCCAGACCAAATGTGTTTGGGTGGCCCGGCCTTATAATCTCAGTGGAGGAATGTGCGTGCCACAGGCTGCAGAGAACAGTTTCCAGTGGTCTGTCAGCAGATGCCCACTCCAGAAGACAGGGGACATGGAGGCCCACGGGCTTCTGAGTGAGAAAATGAGTGGATATTAAGAGTCTAACTACACACGTTTGGATTCTCAAACGCCCCATAACCGTAAATGTTTTCCATCCACGGTGTACTATATATGCCTAAATATAGGGCAAGCCCCAAATAGCATATCCCCCATTTCCCTAATTAGGTAAATTTAACCCTCTTTTTCTTGCCAACTTAATAGGAATCAGAAGTATGGTTTGCCTTTGAGGTGGGGGGAGTGGGCAGTGGGCATTGACCGGCAAGGGACTGGTGGGAACTGTCTGGAGTGATGGACGTGTTCTGTATGTTCATGGTGGGAGTTATGGGTGATATCATTCATCAAACTGCACCCCTGCCATGCATTTTAATGAAGGTAAATTTACCTCAATAAAAAAAGTTAAGAGAAATGAATGAAATATTCAACTGTCTACTTATAATATTTAACCTAATCATGTGGTTGAATGCTTAAAATCTTAGAATGATATATTAATCTATCGTACTCTTTCATTCTTATGTTTCACAAAATAATTTTATCCAAACGTACATCTTCTGAGATTGATGATGTCGTTGCTTTTTTTGTTTTGTTTTGTTTTGAGGCGCAGTCTCACTGTGTCACCCAGGCTGGAGCGCAGTCTCGGCTCACTGCAACTCCACCTCCTGGGCTCAAGTGATTCTCCTGCCTCGGCCTCCCGAGAAGCTGGGATCACAGGTACCACATCTGGCTAATTTTTGTATTTTTAGTAGAGATGGGGTTTCACCATATTGGCCAGGCTGGTCTCGAACTCCTGACCTCAGGTGATCCGCCCGTCTCAGCCTCCCAAAGTGCTAGGATTATAGGCATGAGCCACTGCGTCCCTCCGATGGATGTCATTTCTTATCCACATTTTTAGTCAGTAGTTTACCAGAACATATCATCTTCAATTTGTCTAATTTACTTGGAATGCAGAACTTCTTGAATCCGTGTTGGGTGCTGAAATTCGATCGCCACACACAAACGCCCGCTGGCCCCGCACTGGAGCAGGTGTTTCGCTCGTTTGTCTTGCAGGTGAATATTCATGTTGCTCACATCAGCCGCTTACAAATTACTTTCTAAAATGGGCTTTCAAATATTTATTGCAGCTTTCAGCAACTGCACCCAAGGAATAATCACCAAACCTTCATTAAAGCTCATTGCCGCCGCCTCATTATTTCCCTCTAGTGACCTCTAAAATCATCCAAACCCAATGTTGATTGAGATCATTTCAGGCTAGCTAGTGTGTTTGCCCCAAATGTTGTGTTTCAGATAAAGTAATTGAGGCTGGATGCAGTGGCTTATGCCTGTAATTCCAGTGCTTTGGAAGTCCAAGGCAGGCAGATTGCTTGAGCTCAGAAGTTCAAGACCAGCCTGGGTAACATAGCGAAACTCCATCTCTACAAAAACAAAAAAAAAAAGAAAAGAGAAAGAAGAAAGAAGAAGAAACCAGCAAAAAACAAAACAAAAAACTAGCTCCATGTGGTGGTGTGTGCCTGTAGTCCCAGCTACTCGGGAGGCTGAGGAAGGAGGATCACCTGAGCCCAGGAGGTTGAAGCTGCCGTGAACTGTGATTGGACTACTCTACTCCAGCCTGGGAGACACAGACCCTGTCTCCAAACAAAACCAAAAGTAATTTCCAAATTATTAGAGACTTTTAAAGGACAGTAAGTCCCAAACTGTGAGAAACTTTTATAGGCAGCATCCTCTTTTCTAAGAGTTTAACTTGAGGAAATAAACCTTCACCTTATTTATTTTCAGACATGTATAGTAAATCTGGAATGTATTCAGATCAAAGATGAAATAGAGATTAATTAGGCCAATTTTGGTGGTCTTGTTTTATAATTCATTAATAGATTAGCGTTATTAGCTTGTTTCTTTTTGTGGCAAAAACTGACAAAATCTCATTAAACTTAAGAGCTTCTACACAGCAAAAGAAACTATCAACAGAGTAAACAGACAGTCTACAGAATGGGAGAAAATATTTGCAAACTATGCAGCTGACAAAAGTTTAATATCCAGCGTCTGTAAGGAACTTAAATTTGCAAGAATAAAACAACTCCATTAAATGGAGGGCAAAGGATGTGAACAGACACTTTTCTAAAGAAGACATACATGCAGCCAACAAGCATGTGGGGAAAAAAAAAAGCTCAGTATCACTGATCATTACAGAAATACAAATCAAAACCACAATGAGATACCATCTCATACCTGTCAGAATGGCTATTGTTAAAAAGTCAAAAATTAACAGATGGTGGAGAGGTTTTAGAGAAAAGAGAATGCTTATATACTGTTGGTGAGAGTATGAATTTGCTCAACCATTGCGGAAAGCAGTGTGGCAATTCCTGAAAGAGCTAAAAACAGAACTGCCATTTGACCCAGCATCCCATTGCTGGGTATCTACCCAAAGGAATATAAATCATCCTCCCGTAAAGACACATGCACAGGGACGTTCACTGCAGCACCGTTCACAACAGCAAAGACATGGACTCAACCTAAATGCCCATCAAAGAGCTTGGATAAAGAAAATGTGGTACAGATAGACCATAGAATACTATGCAGCCATGAAAAAGAATGAGATCATGGCCTTTGCAGGAACATGGGTGGAGCTGGAGGCCATTATCCTCAGGAAACTAACACAGAAACAGAAAACCAAATACTGCATTGTCTCGATAAGTGGAAGCTAAATGATGAGAACTCATGAACACAAAGAAGGGAACAATAGACACTGGGGCCTTCTTGAGACTGGAGGTTGGAAGGAGGGAGAGAAGTAGAAAAAAATAACTATTGGGTACTAGGCGTAGTACCTGGGTGATGAAATAATCTGTACCAAAAACCTCCATGACACCAGTTTACCTATATAACAAACCTGCACATATACTCCCAAACATAAAAGATAAAAAAAAAATTTTTTTGTTCCCTGCCTTGAATAAAAAGTTGAAACATTCTGGAACAAATTCAAATACACTATATTTTACTCAAGGACCTTGTAGATAGGGTCATTCAATAGATGCATGTGGTTAGCCATGGATTGTAAGCACGATCCGAAATTATGAATTACTAATTATTAATTTTCTGGTTTGACCTCACATCCTGTCTAGTCTTCAGCTACAACCAGTGTGATATGATGATATATAAAGAAGACTTTGTTTCAACAGTTCCTCAATTTAAACATCAAAAAGAGTGCTGTTCTTAAGGAAATCATCACCAAAGACTACACACCATTGTTTTGCTTCTAATGTCACTGTCACTCAGCACCATTACTATTACTGTCAGAAGCAAAATCAAATCACTTACCAAGAGCTTGGCGAGAATACAGGTTCCTCTCTGGCTCAGGGCAGAGGCTAGTCAGTTATATTTTTGGTAGCAAAACTCTGGTTTTAGAGTTGGACCGAGAGCAGTCCTTCTTGCTGCCCATTCCCCTTCTCTAGGAGGACCTCTAAGAGGTTTTACAGCACCCTGGGGGCTTTCTGGAATGCCTGAAAACCTCCGGCAGCAGATCAGCCGTCAGGCTTAGTCCCAAGCTCCAGGTCTGCATTCTTGACTACATGACTGTTGGCCAGTGACCCAAGTTGAGCCTCATTTTCCTCATTCAGACAAGAATTGCTCATAAGGGTGTTCTTAAATGTGCTTTGGAAACCGTGGAGTGTAAGGCTTATTTTGCTCCTTAAGTCTTCCTATTTCCTAGTCACATCTCATTTGCATGTGATGCGCCATCTCATCAATTATTGGGGAACTAAGATGCACATTTTTTATTATTTGGCCCTGTCGATGCAACAACTTCTGCCTTTCAGCTTTTCAGCCATTGTTCTCCACTTCAGAATGGACGAGGAGGAAAGGTGAATTGGGGTTCTACCACTCCTGCCTCTGCAGTAAGAGGCTCCAGCATCACGATTCATTCTTGGGACTGACCCATCTGACAGCCTCTTTTCATTTTCAGGTGGGCCAAGAGAAGGGAAACTGCTCTTTCCAGAAAAATCCAACCCCCTGCATTATCCCTCAAGAACAAGAAAATATCTTCCACACAATATTTGCTTTTTTCACAAAGTCTGGAAGAAAAGTCTTGGTAAGGATTTGCTTAGTGGCTGGGGTAAAACGGGTGGTCCTCACTCAGAATAAAATGGGTGGTCCTCACTCAGAAGATACCACTTTTCTATTTGATATTTATTATTTCCTAAGTCTGGTTTTAATCAATTGACTTATAAAGGCATAGACTGTGGTCAACTCCTAATTTTCAGTCTGAGGTTTCAATCACAATGTTAAATTTACATTCCAAATTCTATTACCTGGAAAAGGGAAAATCTTTGCAACCCACCAAGCACAAAGTAAAATGTTTCTTCAACTAGTGTGAGTCTAAACAAGAGTGATTATTCTTGTGCAAACGTTTTGGGAAATTATTTAATAATGTATACTAAAAACATGTGTGTATCCATTCCAGTCTTGAGTATATCCCCAAGAAAAATGAGTACTTGTGCCCCCCTGAAAAGACATGAACAAGAATGCTCACAGAAATGTTAAAAATAGCTGAAAACTAAGAACAATGCAAATATTCATCAATAGGAGAATAGCTAAATAATTGTGGTATATCCATATACTGGAATATTATACAGTAATGAAAAATAATGAACTGCTACATGAGTGAATCTCACAGACATAATATTGAGTGAAAGAAGCTACAGACAAAAGCCACATATTGTAATATTTCACTTATACAAAGTTCGGAAATAGCAAAAACTAATCATGATGATGGAGGTCAGGCAAGTGGTTACTTTCAGAGGAACATGGATGGGATAGAGCATGAGGGAATCCGCTTAGATGCTGGAAATGTCCTACATCTTAATCAGGGTGGTGTTCCTCCAGGTATAAACACATGTAAAAATTTATAAAGACAGGCTAGGCACTGTGGCTCATGCCTGTAATCCCAGCACTTTGGGAGGCTAGAAGTTCAAGACCAGCCTGGCCAACATGGTGAAACATCATCTCTACTAAAAATACAAAAATTAGCTGGGTATGGTGGCGGGTGCCTGTAATTCCAGCTACTCGGGTGGCTGAGGCAGGAGAATCGCCTGAACCAAGGAGGCAGAGTTTGCAGTGAGCCAAGATCATACCACTGCACTCCAGCCTGGGCGACAGAGCTATATATATTTATATATATAATATACATATTATATATATAATATATATTTTTTGATGGAGTCATATATATATATGTACACATACACACACATACACACATACATAAAGACATACACTTCAGATTTATTCTATGATATTTGTTATACCTCCATTTTTTCAAAAGTGACAGTATTGAAGATGGAATGACAATGCTTTTCCAAGGCCTCCTTTTTTTTTTTTTAATCTTTGGTTATATTTTCCTAGGCTTCTTATTTCAGCCCTGGCATATCTCATGTTTATCATTTCCTTTCTCATTATTTTCACCTGTTTAGAAGTATGGTTATTTGCCACTTGAAAGGTTGGGATTCTTTTTTTTTTTAATTACATAGTGAGGATGATACATCCATTGTTTTAAGCCCTTAGAATTGTTAGCTGTAGTGATAGTAGTTATTTTATATTTACGACTCTATGGCTAAAAATTTTTCCCCATATATGAAACATCATCAAGGTATGTTTATGCATTTTGGAACCTACCATACAAAAAAGAAAACTTTTGTAACTTTTAAATTTGTGATCTTTGGTTTTTTTTCCTTCTTCTTCTTTGAGATGGACTCTTGCTCTGTCACCCAGGCTGGAGCACAGTGGCACAGTGGCACTATCCTGGCTCACTGCAACCTCCACCTCATGGGTTCATGTGAATCTCCTGCCTCAGCCTCCCGAGTAGCTGGGACTACGCATGCCCGGCTAATTTTTGTATTTTTAGTAGAGATGGGATTTCACTATGTTGGCCAGGCTGGTCTTGAACTCCTGATCTCAGGTGATCTTCCTACCTAGGGCTTCCAAAGTGCTGGGATTATGGACGTGAGCCACCGTGCCCAGCCAGGATTTACATTTCTGTTGTAACGTTTGTGTTTCCTTGAGCAAGAGTCACTTGACTTCTTAGCCCTCTCATTTACCCTACATAATAAATAGGCGTGAAAGTATATTTGCCACTGCACAGGTGGAAATCACATAATGTAGGAAACATGTCTGTGTTCAAAACTCATAAGAATGCTTTCAGAATGCAAAATTTAGTTGTGTCGTTTTTAAAAAACAATTATTTCTCTTTGCGAATTCAGCCAGTTCTTGGTAGGATAAACTAGTGAGCTGTTTTCTCCCAGTTGCTTGACTTAAAGGCAGGTTCTCGTTTCCACCGGGTGGGAAATCCCTTGAGTGCCCTCTGGTGGCAAGAAAGAATGATTGCATCATCTTATGGATTTTCTCTGCCTGCAATTGCCTTAGTCACCAAGTTCATGGATTTGTCTTTGTTCTTAATTCCATTGGAAAATTCTCTGACTTTTTTTCTCAGGACTGTGAAAAACCAGGAACTTCTTGCCTAACAGCACACTGTAACTTTAGTGCTCTTGCTAAAGAAGAAAGTCGTACTATAGACATTTACATGCTGCTGAACACAGAAATACTGAAAAAGGTAAGCCCTGATGACCCGCCCTTTAGGGATGCATGTAGAAGCATTTGAATTGCTGACATCCGATTTGGGGGGGGGGGGAATGAAAAAAAAGAAAGAAAGAAAGAGAGGGAAGGAGGGAAGGAAGAGTAAAGCACTTGAATTGGTGTCCTCATGATACTCTGACTGCACCCCCTTTGCTGTCTACAAGAGACTCTTTTTATGTATTTAGGGGGTACACGTGCAGATTCCTTACATGAATACACTGTGTAGTGGTGAAATCTAGGCTTTTAGTGTACCCATCACCTGAATGGTGAACATGGTACCCAGTAGGTAACTTTCCATCCCTCGCCCCCTCCCACACTTTGGAGCCTCCAGTGTCTGTATTAATTCCACTGTTCATGCCTATGTGTACCCGTTGTTTAGCTTCCACTTATAAATTGAGAACGTGCAGCATCTGACAATTTTTGAGTTATTTCACTTAGAGTAGTGGACTCCAGTTCCATCCATGTTGCCGCAAAAGACATAATTTAATTCTTTTTATGGCCGAGTAGTATTCCATGGTGTATGTATATATATATATATCACATTTTCTCCAACCAATCGTCCATTGATGGACACTTTCATTGATTCCATATCTTTGTTACTGTGAATAATGCCACAATCAACTTTCCAGTGCAGGTATATTTTTTGTACAGTGTTTCTTTCCCTTTGGGTAGATACCCATTAGTGTGACTGCTGGATGGAATGCAGTTCTGTTTTTAGTTCTTCGGGAAATCTCCATACTGCTTTTTCGATTGTTCAATTTACTTTCCCATCAACAGTGTGTAAGCATCCCCTTTCTCTGCATCCTCACCAGCATCTGTTGTTGTTTTTGTTTAACTGTTTAATAATAGTCTGGCTGCCCCTTTTGGAACTTTCCCAGCAGTTGTCATTGGTGATTTTGCTGGCAGATTATGCCAGGGTAAATGCCAGACCCCGGCTACTCAGTGTGGTCCAAGGACCAGCAGCAGCAGCAGCAGCACCTGAGAGTTTATTAGAAATGCAGAATCTGGGGCTCACCCCAGACTTATAAACCAGCATCTTCAGTCTAACAAGCTCCCCAGGGATTTTGTTGGCACATTTAAGTTTCTCACGTGTTAGCTTGCATCAGAAGGACCTGGAGATCTTGTTAAAACATGGATTCCTTTGGGGTAGAGTCTGAGGCTCTCCAGCTCCGGCAAGCACCTAGGTGATGCCCGTCCTGCAGGTCTGCAGACCTTGCTTTAGATGAAGGTTGGCTAACCTTTTCTGTGAAGGGCCAGTAGTAAATATTTCAGGCTTTGCAGGTCCTACAGCCTCTTGCGACTGCTCAACTCTGCCATTGTATTGCGAAAGCAGCCATAGACAACACTCAAATGAATGGGCATGGCTGTGACCTGGTAAAACTTTATAAAAACAGGCAGAGGCCCAGAGTTGACCCTTGAGTTCTAGTTTAAATGGCACTTCATTTTAGTCCAACTTTTGACTCTTAGGTCACTTTGCTATTATGAGTTTATCACAAGCAGTTCATTAAAAAGCACCTCAGCCAGGGTGCATCAGTGGCTCTTGAAGAATCATACAAATTTACTATGATTTATTTTAGGATGAGAGCTGCTGAGAGGCCACTTCCAACAAGATGCTGTAAAAATAATTGCATGTGAAGATAAAACGAAGTATGCATGTTAGCCACAGAGATTTCACCAGTTATTTTTCTTTAGAAAAGCTAAATGTGTTCATCTGTACAAACCTATCCGCGTGTGAATGAAAGCCTTAGAAAAGTCATTTTGTGGTTATTTTTAAATAGACACAGTGGTAACATGCTGACCTAAGAGGATGCAAGCATCAGGGGATGTTTTTTCCATTTTCAATCTGTAG